TTAGAGGGCCAGACCATTATAAATTGTGAAGCAGGTAGTTTACCACGACAGAAGTGATTTTTTTTCTGAAGATATGGGTAACCAATGCGATTTAACAGCCTTTGAACATGGAATACACACACACACAGGCCACATTATTATGACCACCTGACATTTGTAGGCAAATTAGCCGTACACTGCATCGTATGGGATATGGAAGCCGAAGGCCTGTTCAGACACCTCTGCTGTCTGCAGTTACCAAGATAAAACGTCTCCAATTTGCACAGGAACACAAGGATTGGATATTCGAGCATTGGAAAAAAGTCATGTGGTCCGATGAATCACGTTTCCAGTTGCATCATGCAGATGGCAGAGTGAGAATTTGTCGGAAACAGCATGAAGGCATGCACCCCACATGCATGAGTACAACCCTTCAAACTGGTGGGGGCAGTGTTATGGTTTGGGGCATGTTTTCCTGGCATGATTTGGGCCCTTTATTCAGACGTGGAACACGTCTGAATAGCACAACATACCTAAGTATCGTTGCTGATCAAGTTCATCCTGTCATGTTGATGGCGTATCCCAATGGAGATAGCTTCTTCCAACAAGACAATGCGCCATGCCACGGTGCTCGTATTGTGCAGGAGCGGTTTCAAGATCATGAGGGAGACTTTACCTTGCTTAGGTGGCCCCCACAATCACCAGATCTCAATCCAATTGAGCATTTGTAGGATGAAGTTTAAAGAGCCATCAGGCAGCTGGTTCCATAACCATCAAATCTCACAGAACTGGACAGTGCTATTTATCAGGCATGGTGTCAAATTTCTCACATCACCTTTCAACATCTTGTGGAGTCAATGCCAAGAAGAATCGCCACAGTATTGAAGGCAAAAGGTGGCCCAACGGAGTACTGATGAGGTGGTCATAATAATCTGGCCATTCAGTGTATATATATCCCACGTTCAAAGGCTGTTAAATTGCGTTGTTTACCCATATCTTCAGAAAAAAATCACTTCTGTCGTGGTAAACAACCTGCTTCCCTATTTATAATGGTCTGGCCCTCTAGTAACTTCAGCGTGAAATTATAGCTAATTTGCCCACAAATGTCAGGTAGTCATAATAATCTGGCCACTCAGTGTATACTGTGTTAGTAAATAGGAGAATAGTGTTATTATAACATGGGTGGCATGCTGTTATATATGTGGTTTTTCCTAAACTGGACAGGGTGATCCTGAATAATGGGAGTGGAATTTTATCCTTCATCAGGAAAATTAAAAAAGTCAAGTTAAACTGTTAAAGAGACAAAAGGCTCTCCCCACTGTGAGATACAGATTTTGGGTGCCCTCCTGGAGAGGCACAGCCTGATCTAGCAGCGATTTTTATGTGGCAGTTTACGTTTCCTTTTGTGTCCATTTTAGCAGCCCTACTGGCTTAAAGCTTCACTTATTAGCTCCCATAGCCTTTGTTTCTACTTTTCTCTTTTTTAATACCTTTTATTAATCCTTCAGGTAGCATTTCAGCTTCTCTTAACTGCCTGGGGTGTCCAAATTATCTCTGGAGGTCTCAGTCATTGTTTTTGTTAATGCTTTGGTTACGGAGTTCCAGGGACATTGACTGATTTGCCCCAATATACCCCTCTCTGCCTTCCTGGACCCATTCCCCCCAAATAAGCTTTGATATTTTTAGTGTTACAGAATGCAAGGTTTTCAGAAATACATGAATTTATGTTAATATCAGATATATTAAGAGACTTCCTTAAGAGGATGCTGGAGCTTAGTGTAGTTGTGGCTTTGTGGCATTATGTATTTGTGTTCTTAAAGGACTTTATAAAGAGACCCCTATATTTCTGGTAATGGAGATCCCATGTTTGTGATATAGTGTGAGGCATCCTGCTCATTTTACAATGCAGAGGAATGATAAACAGAAAGAATATGAGGAATTTTGTTGTGAATCAAGGAGGCATTATTTTGTGCTATACAGTATTCCCCCCTTAGTCACAGGGGATACTTTCCAAGATCCTCAGTGGATGCCTGAAACTGCTAAATAGAACCAAACCATATGTATACAGTGGGGCCTTGACTTACAAGTTTAATTCGTTCCATGACGGAGCTCGTAACTCAAATTACTCGTATGTCAAATCATTAAAGTGAACGAGTGAGACACGTGATGCTGGGCTGATGTTGTGGCGTTCACTGTGACGTTCACTGCGCCAACTAGCGGTGGAGTTTCTGAAGCTGGCTCGTAACCCGAATTTTAGCTCACAACTCAAAGCAAAATATCGATCGGCCAAGAGACGGCTCGTTTGAAAAACTTGTTAGTTGGGACACTCGTAAGTCAAGGCCCCACTGTACTATGATTTTTTTCCTATATATGCATACCCATGATAAAGTTTAATTTTCAAATTAGGCACAGTACGGGATTAAAAAATAATAACAAAATAGAATAACTATAACAATATATATAAAAGGCTAATATGCAAAGTGTCCCCTCAGGAGTTCAATCACTCGCTATGACATTTGCTGACTACCAGTGGGCGGGCACAGAATGAAGGAAGGGCCTCTAGTATACTATAATAAAAGTTATATTAATGTGGTCTTCCAACTGTTTTATTGTACTGTGCTTACCCTTGTGATGTGAGATGATACAGTGCCTATGTGATAAGATGAAGTGAGGTGAATGACAATGGCATTGTGACGTGTAGTGTTAGGCTACTATAAAGGTTCCTTGAACAGAAGCACCGACACAGTCAGTGTGATAACTGAGACAGCTACTAAGTTATTAACAGATGGGTGGATAGCATGTGCGGATATGCTAGACAAAGGGACAATTCATGTCCTGGGTAGGATAGAGCCGGGTAGCATGAGATTTTATCACACTACTCAGAGTGCATTTTAAAACTTAAGAATTGTTTATTTCTGGAATTTTTCATTTAATATTTTTGGATTGCAGGTAAGTGAAACTATAGAAAGCAAAACCATGGGCCAAGGGAGTGTGGAGGGTGACACCTGGTAGCTACTGTAATGACTATTTTGATGGAATTACATAACATTAGAGAAATTATTCAGTAAAAGTAAAATTATTTATTTATTTTTGTTAATACACTGAAATTTTGTTTGTTTAATCCTAACCCGAGGAGTGAGGATATTTTTCCCATTGGTTTTTCGAGAGAGCGAAGCGGAGGGGGGATAGGGAGGAATATCAACGTGAGAGAGACACGTCAATTGGTTGCCTCCCGCTCTCGCCTAAACAGGGCCGGGTATTGAACCTGTAACCAAGGTATGTGCCTTTGACTGGGAATTGAACCCCGGACCCACCCTTCAGTCCAAAGGCCGATGCTCTAACCACTGATCCAAACCAACCAGTGCTAACATTCTTTAGGATGGTAATTGCAGTATTATCTTTTTTTTCTATTTTGATCCAAATATGGAGTTGTGATTTTGGCCACTTAGAGTACCAAGGTTTTTTTCAGAAATAATAGAACAATATTCAATTTTCAGAAAATACATAGTAGTATATTATATTATCTGCTGTGGTGTAAAAGCATCAAATAACAAAAAAATAGAGAAGTTATTACTATTAAATAAGAATGTTGATTATATGTATAAATTATATGTACTATAGATTTAAAAGTCTAGTCCTTATCTAAAGATTTCAGGTAGTCTCATTAAAACAGCAAGGAATTACAGGCCAGTATTACAGTAATATAAGAAAACACTCATGTGGCAGATGACATTAGAAAAAAAACCTACAAATGAGAAAAATAAATCAGGCTATTGCTTGGAATATACTTTAGTCAATAATACTATAAGAATAGTATAGACTGGTCATATGTGGATTTGCCCCATATAAGGAAATGAATAGAGACTTTGTTATGGAGTAGACTCCTTAGTGTTAATTTGGGCATTTAAAGAATTGAGGTTGTCCTTGGGGGGTGTGGCAGTGGCAGGCTTTTTTTTTCTTTTTTTTTTTTTTTTTCTTTTTTTTTTTTTTTTTGTCATTTTTGGTGATATGTCAGCAAATTCCATGAAATGACCTTTGTTCTTTAGGCAGTTCTAGGAATATGGGAAAATTTTAAAAAATTCAGAGCACATTGTACAATTCAGTATTTCAATAGCATGGAAATTGAGTGGACCCTGGGGAAAGGATCTGAATTATGAGAATACTATAATTATATTTGCGTATTATAATTACATTAGTAAATACTCTTATGACACTCAAATTTTTCTTGTGTTTTCTACTAAACATTAGATGTTCTGTTTTGTTTCTCCTGGATTTAAAAAACAGGGGAAAGTCTATCATACCATATATTTTCCTCTTTTGGTGGTATAATTGACATAACATTATGTTAGTTTCAGATCTATACAACGTAATGATTTGATGTATGTATGTATTGTGAAATGATCATCACAGTAACTTTAGTTACTATCCATAACTATACATAGTTCTAGGGGTTTTATTTCTTATAAGAAATTTAAAGATTTACTCTTTTAGCAACTTTCAAATATGCAATACAGTATTATTAACTATATCCACCATGCTGTACATTACATCCCCATGGCTTATTTATTTTATTATTGGAATTTTGTACCTCTTGACTGCCTTCACTCATTCCCCCCTCCACTCCATCCTCACCTCTGGTAACCACCAATCTGTTCTCTGTATCTATGAACTAGGTTTTGTTTGTTTTTAAATTTTACATTCCACATGTAAGTGAGGGCATACAGATTTGTCTTCCTCTGTCTGACTTATTTTACTTAGTATAATGCCCTCAAAGTCCACCCATGTTTTTGCAAATGGCAAGATTTTATTATTTTTTATGGCTGAATAATATTGCATTGCATATATATACCACAATCTCTTTATTCATCAATGAACCACTTAGATTGTGTCCATTTGTTGGCTATTTTAAATAATGCTGCAGTGAACATGATTAGGGTGCATATCATATTTTATCATTTTAAAAGTGTAACCTATAAGACAGAGTGACTACTCAATGAATGTTTTTCCTTTTATATCTTAAGGAAGAGAGAGAAAATCCTTCGAAACGGAGTAGAATTGAACGTGATATAGATAATAATCTGATCACATCAACACCAAGAGCAGGAGGAAAACTTAACAAACAGATATCTCGAGTAAGACGGAAAAGTCAAGTAAATGGAGGTTTGTTAATATTTAGATAATTGCTTTATTAGGTACAGGGAGAGATCTGACCCAACATGTTCCTTTTCTGTTTTAAAAAATCTACTTTAAGCAATTTCTGCCTAGTTTTTGTAATCTTCTTTGACTATATACTAGTAGCATGAAATAAAATGAAAATTTACCTTCTTACTATAAATCTACTTTGCTGAATTAAAATGACAAAGGCAGAGCAACTAGCTTTATACTGCTTAGCATGAAAATGTAAATGGAGCAACATTTTGTACTTCTAATAAATTCATTTCTTAAAGCAATAATAGTTGTGACTTAATTTGTAAACGTACAGATTTGAAATATGTTCTTAATATGTACAAAGAATTTGTTTCTTGGTCAGTAAATTTCAGAGTTCAGAGGGGATTGGATCACTTAGGCCAGCTGTTTTCAACTACAGGTGGTTTTGTTCCCCTGGAGAACATTTGTCAATATCTGGAGATTTTTTTGCTTGTCAGAACCTGTTGAGGGAACACTGCTAAACATCTTACAGGTCATCTTCCCACAACAAAGAATTATCCAGCCAAAAGATCAATGGTATTGCTGTTGATAAACCCTGTTCAAGCACCTCAAAGTCAAAAAGGAGAAAAACAAGAAGGATAACAGATTTTTCTAAAGACTAACACTTAAGAGCATGGAGCCTTTTAACCAGTGCTACTTTAAACACATAATAATTTCTTAGCTTTTTCCTCTCAATGCAGTGATGTATCTCTGTTGTTGGAATTGACCACTAGGGAGAAAAGGAATAAAGTAGTAAGTTAAAAGAGCTATAGCGAAGAAGGAAAACAATGAGATAGATAGTAAGGTTGTGGAAGGTTACGGATGATTAATCAAAACATTTGTTTGAATTTATTTTTTAAATATTTTCCAAAAACCCATGGAAAATTTTTTATTAACAAGAAACTTTTAGAAAACTAGTTATTCTTCCTAGCTACTTTGAAATGGTGCCTCACTATCCATAAGTAATTTTTGACACTACTATATATAGTTTTCTGCTTCAGTAGAGCTATGTTGCTGTTACTCATTAGAAATAGATTGGAGGTTAGGTTTTGTGAAGTAGGCAGCATCCCAAAGTATAAATAACCAAAGACAAAAAGTTTGCATTTGTGTTTTTAATATTGTAATTTGCTTTACTTACAAAGAGTTTATTTCATTCTCTGAAACTCTGTGTTGATTTGAAGCCTTTCAGTCTATATAATTCTAGATGTAAATCTACAGTTGACCCTTGAACAACACGGGGGGTGGAGGGGTTAGGGGCGCTAACCCCCTGCACAGTCTAAAATCTACATATAACTTTTGAATTCCCCAAAACTTCAGTTGTCCCTCGGTATCCATGGAACCCTGGTGGATACCAAAATCTGCAGTTGGTCAGGTCCCTTATATAAGACTAGAAGCCTGATGCACGAAGATTCATGCAAGAACGGGCCTTCCTTCCCCTAGCTGCTGGCACAGCCTTCGCTCCTGCCAGAGCCTCCTTTCCACCTTACCATGCTGCCCAGAGGCCTGGAGCTGCTGGGGTGCTCGGTACCTGCATATGCAAATTAACTCACCATTTTGTTGGGTTAATTTGCATACTCCTTATTGGTTGGTGGGCATGTGAAAGTATAGTCAATTCGCATATTTCTCTTTTATTAGTGTAGATGGCATAGAATAATGCATACAATTGGCCCTCTGTGTCTGTGGATTCCCAACCGTATAATAGTATAATAAGTACTGTTGAATCTGTGGATGCAAAACCTAGGGATATGAAGGGCCAACTGTGTATTTATTGAAGAAAATCCAAGTTTAAGTGGACCAACATAGTTCAAACCCATCTTGTTCAAGGGTCAACTGTACTTTGAAAAACTGAATTTTAGCATCTATAAAGCATTAGACTTTATAGAAGGAATAAGATAGGAGAGTTATAAAGAAGTCAGATTATTAGACTTCATGCTTTATAAATTTGTATCAAGATAATTTGATTTACAAGTGATTTACCTCAAGATTTTTTTAAATAATAAACTTTCCTAACATTAATGTCCAGTACTCTTCATGAAATTTTTTTTGGAAAAAAGTATTTTCACAATGAATGTCTTAGAACACATTTCTGAAAGCCATGTTTTCTAGATTCCAACTTTTTTGTTATTGTTTTTTCTTAGAAGCTGGTAGTTACGAAATGACAAATCAACATGTAAAACAAAATGGAAAATTAGAAGATAACCCTTCCTCTGGCAGTCCTCCAAGGACTACATTGTTGGGGACCATATTTTCTCCTGTCTTCAACTTTTTTTCACCAGCAAATAAAAATGGTAAGTATAAACCATTAATTATAATTTGGGTTTAAAAATTTAATGTTTGTGTTTTTTTAGTTTTTAAAAAAATTCTATTTGATTTTAGTGGCATATATGTCAGCATCTTATGTTTGTTTTAAGTGACTGAAATAAATATAGGATATGTTTAATTCTATTGAAGTGAATGGACTCTGCTTTCACTATCTGAAGAGCTAGATGATAAACTTAGGGCTGGAGGGAAAGTTTTATTATTTCTTTGTTGGATGACTTAATGTAATCCTTAGAATGCGTATAGGAAAGAATCTAGAAGCATTTTCAGTATTCTAGATCAATAAAGTATTTTTTTAAATATTTAAAGTGAGTTGAAACAAGATCATTTTCTTGTAACAATTTATTTTTTATTATCTTTTGGTTGACTTCTCCCCTTAGGGATCTTCAATTTAGACAAAATAAAACTACCCTAATTCAAATGAAGTATTTCATTATATAATACTTTTGCAAAAGTATCAAAATAGGCTTCTTTATCAATTTATTTATTTATTTGTTTTTTATTTTCTCTTTCAAATCATTTTAATAACATGGCAGTCAAAATACGAAAAGCAGACTCAAACTTGTTTTTTTTTAAGGGGGGGTGCTACCATGATTGCTTCACACAAGCATGATCTAAGGTAATGATGACACCGATTCCGGTGGTAAGAAGGCCTCAGGGCTCACAGACTGAAAAGCTTGGTTTCGGAAAAGTCTCAGAGGGGTCGCAGGTGGCGGGAGAAATTAAATTATGAAATTTAAGGTACCTTCACAGTACAGGGCGTGGCTGCTGGGTCATCAGCACCTTGAAATGTTTCTTGATGGTGACTCGGTGTCGAGAGTATTTGTCATCTGGGGAGAGCCAAACCGGTCAGGGCATGGAGCAGGCATTTTTAGACATTTGTGGAAACCAGTTATCTGGTGGCAGCAATAGAGATAAATGAATTCTGATTCACTTGGTAAGTTGAGTATGGGATAATAAAGAGCTTTGAGGGAAGGGTATCAGGAAAAGAGGGGTTTTTTGGAAAAAGATTAAATTTAAAGCAGTTAAGAAGAATGAATATTCTGTGAGGCAGTTGAGAGTATTGGAGATTGATTTTGTTGTTAAAAACAACTTTTGGAGGATTCTGTTAAAAAATGGAAAGAGTTGGGAGTCATTCCATAATTGGGCAGCATGGTCATGTAGGTGATGGCTGTGTATAATTAGGAAACTAACTTGAATATTAAGATGAAATCTCAGCATGAGTGTGTGGGGGGGGGGAGGTTGGGGGTTAATGGGGGGGATGAGGACACATTTGTAATACCTTAACTAATAATAAAAAAAAAAAAAAAAGATGAAATCTCATTTCGAATTTGTCCTTGTGTCTTTGAATAAAAGGGTCCCCATGGTCAGGAACAATGTTCTCATTCTTGGATAAGTAACTCTGTTTTAAAAATCACAACTGCCCACAATGTCTAGGATGCTTAGTACTGAAAGGATCAGGAGCTGTTTGAGGATAATGAATATATATAAAATGCCTAGACAGAGTAAGCACTTAATAAATGATACTTGCTTTAATGTAAAGAAGTTTTATAGTAAAATATCCTGTGTTATATACTTCAGAGTTGTTAAGAGAAAAAAGAATGATAATTATATTATGGGTTAGAGGTGTTAGCTAACAATAGATTGGTAATCATATTGTACTATATCAATCAATATGTACATCTGAAACTTAGTGTTATATGTCAATTATATCTCAGTAAAAATAAAGATGTTCTAAATTATATAACTATTTGACTCCAAATAGGTGTTTCTAAACTATTTGAACACTTTTAATAGTTTTGTTCACAAATACTACTCTAGCATATAATAGTCTTTATACCTCATTGTTTGAAATGTATACAAGAGACTCACCAAGCAGTGGTATCCTCAGCTTTGTTTCTATTGTGTTTAGTTTTTGAAATATTTATAGGTTTTAATTATCTTATTTGTATTGAAATATATTTGACATAACATTGTGTAAATCTAAGGTATATAACATGTTGATTTGGTACATTTACATATTGTAATATAATAGCTATTATAGCAATAATTAGCACTGCTATCATGGTCCATAATTACCCTTTCTTTTTATTGGTTGGAATAATTAGATCCTAGTCTCTTAGCTAGTTTGATGATTACAATACAGTATTATCTATATTTACTGTGTATTTGATCTCTAGGGCTTATTTATTAATCATTGTAAATTTGTGCCCTTAAATAACATGTTTTACTCTTCTACCCCCTATGAGTTTTTAAATGATGATTGTGAGTACCCTGAATCATGATTTCAGGAACATCAGGATCCGATTCCCCAGGACAGGCTGTGGAAGCTGAAGAGATAGTAAAACAACTTGATATGGAACAGGTGGATGAGATCACTACCAGTACTACTACGTCAACTAATGGAGCAGCTTACTCAAATCAAGCAATTCAAGTGAGGCCATCAGTAAATAATGGTTTAGAAGATGCAGAAGAAACAGTTAATCGTGATATCCCACCCCTTACAGGTGAGGAAAATGTCTTAGGCATCTTCAAGAATAGTTTATAAAAATGCAGTATTTTAGTCCAGCCAATGTGGCTCAGTGGTTGAGCATAGACCTATGAACCGGGAGTTCAGGGTTTGATTCCCAGTCAGGACACATGCCTGGGTTGTGTGCTTAATCCCCTGTAGGGGATGTGCAAAAGGCAACTGATCAGTGATTCTCTCTCATCATTGAAGTTTCTATCTCTCCTGCTCCTTCTCCTTTTCTCTCTGAAATCAATAAAAACATTTTTTTAAAAAATACAGTATTTTATATTTTTTCTTAAATACTAGATTAAATGCATATTTTTCTTCCTTGAAGTTAAGAAAATTAAAGTTGGAAATAAAATTTGTACCCAAAAGTTAGTCATTTTGAAATTGAATTTTTAAAAACTTTGTTGTGATTCAGTATTAATATTTTACAGTTTAATTACTTGTACCAGTTTTACTACTTGGAGAAATTTAACACAACTAGCAAAATATGTGCTTATTTTATGAATATAATTGTAACAGTCTTAGACCCTTAGGTCTGAAGTTCCTACCTAGAGGTAGTCTCAAATCATAACTTCAGATTTGTTTCATACATGAATGACATTCCCCCCAAAGAAGCTTCTGTTCCTGGATATCTCTCTGTACCCAGCTTTTAGAGCTTAATTCTGAATCCTTATAAAGGCCTAACATAATTGTGTTTCTGAGCCAGTTGTCAGAGAAATGTAGAAACACATTAGATCATAATTTATACCTCTGAGGAGTTGTGATAAGTAGACATATAAGATGAAAAGATGAAATTGTTTCATCATGCTTAAAAGCAGAAATAAAATTGAGGATGGCTATTTTTCTCAGAGGGAGAAAATCTTAGATTATTATTTTAGATTTTTTAAAATGTTCCTTGTGGTGCTAGCTATTTGAGAGAGCCTAGTGCAAATATATTGGTTAAGAAATATAATTTGGTATAAGGAAGTAGGATGATGTTCTTCTGTTGAATATAAAGAGCAAACATTTTAAAAATATATACTTTTATTGATTCAGAGAGGAAGGGAGAAGGGGAGAGAGATAGAAACATCAGTGGTGAGAGAGAATCATTGATCGACTGCCTACTGCATGCCCCACACAGGATCAAGGCCACAACTCGGGTATGATTTATAACTACTGAGTCACTCTTGGCTGGGCTAAAAGGGCTAACTTTTATTTTTTTATTATTTTTTTAATATATTTTATTGATTTTTCACAGAGAGGAAGGGAGAGGAATAGAGAGTTAGAAACATCGATGAGAGAGAAACATCGATCAGCTGCCTCCTGCACACCCCTCACTGGGGATGTGCCCGCAACCAAGGTACATGCCCTTGACCGGAATCGAACCTGGGACCCTTCAGTCTGCAGGCCGACTCTCTATCCACTGAACCAAACTGGTTATGGCAAGGGCTAACTTTAAAAAAAAATTCTTGAAATAGCAGAAAACATTTGAAAATGCATACAATTGTGAAACTTCAACTCAATAATGCCAATATGAAGAGAAAAGTGACATAGTAGAGGAGAAATTTATTTTAAATTTGTCAAAAGATTAATGTCTATGTTAAAATTATGTTATAATGTAAAAATCATACTGAATCTAACAAGCAAATTAACATGGGTTATGCACATAGTTTATTCTTGGGTGGATAAGACTTTAAATGAACCTACTGTTGTCCTATCATTTCATGCTGATTACTTTGCCCAGTGTTACAGGCTATTGAATGGTAAAGTCCAGGGCTTTGGCTTCCTATTTGATGTTTGTTCTATATTTTTATTCTGCTGTATAACCCTTTATATTTATTTTATCTGACAACTATGAAGATGGAGAAGGGATTTCTATAACCTTAGGGGTTTCTAGAGGGGGGAAAAGTAAGATTTATTCCAGTTGTCTTATTCATTTATTTATTCCCCTAACATTTATTGAACACCTATTTTTGTGATGGGTTTATAAAGATGAGTAAGATATGCCCCTTGGCCCTAGCTAGTTTGGCTCAGTGGATAGAGCATAGGCCTTGGACCAAAGTGTCCTGGGTTTGATTCTAGTCAAGAGCAGTACCTTGGTTGCAGGGTCCTCCCCTGCCCAGGCCCTGGTCAAGACTCCTGCAGGAGTCAACCAATTGATATGTTTCTCTTACATTGATGTTTCTCTCTCTCTTTCCCTCTCTTTTACTCTTCCTAAAAACCAATGGAAAAAGAAAATAGAGGGCAATTCTGGTTTAGTTAATTCTCTGTAGTAGCTGAGGAGGCATTGCTCTGAGGAGGAAGTACAAATACAAAAACTAATAAACCTTTAATATATATATATATATATATATATATATATATATATATATATATACCCCTTGACCCCGAAAAATACATGAGTTAATTGATGAGCCAAGTATACACAAAAATAACTATGCACTCGACTGGTGTGGCTCAGCTGTTGAGCATTGACCCAGGAACCAAGAGGTCACTGGTTTAATTCCCAGTCAGGGTACATGCCCGGGTTGTGGCTCAGTCCCAGTAGGGGCCGTGCAGGAGTCGGCCTATTGATGATTTCCTCTCTCATTGATGTTTCTATCTCTTTATCTCTCTAGAAATCAATAAAAATATATTTTAAAAAAATAACTATACAGTGTGGTGAGTGCTATTAAAAATAAATGAGCAATGGAATATTACTCAGCCATAATAAAGAATGAAATCTTGCCATCTATAACAATATAGATGAATCTAGAGGGTATTGTGCTAAGTGAAATATGTCAAAGAAAAATACCATGATTCATTTATATGTGGAATCTAAAAAACAAAGTAGATGAATAAACAAAACAGATGCAAACTTGGAATACAGAGAACCAATTGGTGGTTGTCAGATAGGAGAGGCATTGGAGGATGGGTGAAAAAGGTGAAAGGAATTATGAAGTATAAATTACCAGTTATTAAAATAGTCACAGGAATGTAAGATACAGTATAGGGAATCTATACTAACAAAAGGGTAATATGCTAATTAGACTGGATAGACCAGATGTCATTCCAGTCGTCCTTCCTGACAAAGCTGGGGCCCAGGCAGCGCCGCCCGGGGTTCCAGGTGCCTGTGGCCGGCTGGAGGAGGGAAGCCTGGGCCCGGGTGCGGGGTCTGAGACAGAGGCGGTTAGGGGCCATTAGGCAGGCAGGCGAGCAGTTAGGGGCGATTAGGCAGGCAGGCAAGTGGTTAGGGGTGATCAGGCAGGCAGGCAGGTGAGCGGTTAGGAGCCAGCACTCCCAGATTTTGAGAGGGTGCAGGCCGGGCTGAGGGACAGCACAAATTTCATACACCGGGCCTCTAGTATAGTCAGTAACATTGTAATGACTATTTGTAATGACTGTGTATGGTGTCAGATGGGTATTAAACTTATCTGGATGATTACTTCATATGGTATATAAATGTCTAATCTCTGTGTTGTACACCTGAAACTAATATCGTGTATCAACTGTAATTGAAAAATAAAATTTTTAAAATAGTAATAAATGAGCAAAATAATGCGGTGGCCCATTGCAATTACTCTGGGAGGATCATTAAGTAAAATTGTTGCTGATCTTGAAAGATGAATATGAGAAGCCGAAACCGGGTTGGCTCGGTGGATGGAGCGTCAGCCTGCGGACTGAGAGGTCCCGGGTTCGATTCCGGTCAAGGGCATGTACCTGGGTTGCGGGCACATCCCCGGTGGGGGATGTGCAGGAGGCGGCTGATCGATGTTTCTCTCTCATCGATGTTTCTGACTCTCTCTATCTCTCTCCCTTCCTCTCTGTGAAAAATCAATAAAATATATTTTTTTAAAAAAAAAAAAAGAAAGATGAATATGAGAAACAAAATTATTACTTTCCCCTAATTTCAAGAATGTAGCCAAAAAGAACAAGAAGGAAGGAGGCTGGCTCTATCATTTACTTAGCTTTGTGACTTGGTATCATTTATGTAAGTTCTGTGAGACAGTATTCTTAGCTTTAAAATGGTAATAATTCAGGATTTTGAGGGTAAGAAAGATGAAGTATGAAAAATGCTTAGATGAAGGCACTCAAATATTCCTTTTTTCCTTTCTCTGAGGTTAATAGGATTTTGAAACGTGGTTAGAAGATATATTTTTTCTATTATCCCTTTGTGCTAATGAACTGTTCAATTGGCATAAAGTTGTTTAAAAAATTATAGCAGAGTTCCACTGTCTTATTCCTTTTGAGCTGCTATAACAAAATTTAATTCTCACAGGTCAGGAGGCTTGGAAATCCAAGTCAGCGTCAACAGCATTGATGTCTGGTGAGGGCCTGCTTTCTGGTTCATGGACAGCTGTTTTCTCAGTGTGTCCTCACATGGCAGAAGCTCTGTGAGCTCTCTAAAGGACACCGATCCCATCTTCATGACCTCATGACCTTCCAAATATCACATTGAAATTGTGGCGGGGGGGTGGGAGGAGGGGTACAAACATTCTGTCTCTAGCATCCACCTTAAATTTTTATCTGTGAGATATTACCTGTTTAGTTTTAAGTTATCTTTTTTCCTCTCCTTGAATTTAAGTTGTAATTATTGTCTTAGAAAATTCCCCACATAATTTCTAAAGCTCTATTAGTTGATATAATTTTAGATCAAACAGAGTGGATTATTGTCATGGAATATAGAATTGCTTATTTTCAGTTGCTTGTACATTAGAAGAAATATAATGGGTCTTCTAAATCAATGCTTTCTACATTGAACAGCATTTTAAAACTATTTAAGTTCAGAAACAGCCTTGAGATTCCTGGAAAAATTTACATATAACATTTTTTCATAAGTCTTCAAGGGGTTCATGGACTTCTTAAAGACTGTTCATGAATTGTAGATTAAAACCTAGCTTTGGGTCTATTATGAGCACACATATATTGACCACCTGAATGTACAAGGCATTTTGTGAAATATTACTACTGTAAGAGCACCATGAAATTTTTATAGTTATGTATATAAACACCATCCACTTAGAAATTGAATTCTTGTGGAGTGTATTTTTCTAGTAATTAGTAAATTTTCTCTCAGAATTTTTAATTTCTGCTAGCCATGATATAGCTTGCCATTTTGTCTGTATTGGTAGTTTTTTCCTTTGGATCTGGAGTTAGAGCTATGTGCTAATAAATTTGCTTTTAAATACTGTTTAGATATTATTTTTGTCTAATCTTCAACCTAAAATACACAGGGCTTCAGGAAGATCTTACATAAAAGCAGTAAAATCTATACTTCATGGCAACATTAAGTGAGTAAAAGTAACATTTTATTTTTCACTTTTATTAAATAGCACCAATAACTCCAGATAGTGGTTATTCATCAGCCCATGCAGAAGCCACTTATGAAGAAGACTGGGAAGTGTTTGACCCGTGAGTTGTTTTCTTTTTCTTCCTTCTTAGCAGAATGAAAGTCCATGCGTGGAGGGGTAGCTGGGTGGTATATTGCAAAGAGCATGTAACTTATAGGTAGTAATACTTTTGCCGAGTTATTCAAATACTAATTTGTATATTTTCAGTTTCATTTACATGTTTTACATGTTTGGTTTACTAATTTAAATACAGATTGCTTAATTAACGTGAGCTGAATTTAGTAATATGTCTTACACTTATAAAAAGTAGAAATGTTGAAATTTTCTTAAAATTTGATTTATAGCTATTATTTCATCAAACATGTTCCACCACTGACAGAAGAACAACTAAATAGGAAACCTGCTCTTCCATTGAAAACAAGAAGCACACCAGAATTCTCCCTAGTTTTAGACCTGGTAAGTATATTATTTGCAGATGTAAGAAAAATAAAGGAGTTAAATTCTCTTTTAAAATACTAGCCCAAAGCACCAAGAAGAATATTAGGTGACTAAATAGCCTTACACATTTGCTCTGAAAATGTCTTAGGTGTTCTGAAATGTTTTTGTTTTTTTATTATTGAGAGTATTACTGATGTCGTCCATTTTTCCCTCTTGGCTCCCGCCCCAGCCCAGGCCTTCACTGCACTTTTGTCTGTGTCCTTGGGCTATGCATGTAAGTTCTTAGGTTAATCTCTTCCTGCACCCCCATCACTCCCACCGTTTCTGCTGAAATGTTTTTATTTTAAGCTCGGTCTAATGCTTAGGGTCCCTAGCTTGGTTGATAACAGGTACCTTCTTAAATCTCCCAATAAAATTCTAATTTCATTTCATGCCTAGATTTCACCTTTTGGGTCAGGATTGTTTCCTTGAAGGACCAGATATAATCTAGGTCTCAGTGAGTTAACCTTTGCAAGACCATACTTCTTTTCCTATTCTTGTATTTATGTATTATCTAATATCAAGGACTATTTATTAATACACTCTCAAAAGTATGGTATCTTAATGCTAATAAAACCTTTAATATGCTCTATTGGTATGATTTTAAATTTTATACTTTAGGGTACCAGAAGAGCTTTAAAAACTGAATGTCTATTATATAATATTGGAAAACACTATATAATTTAGCCTTTGTTACTGGTACTCTGTAATTGAAGATGTATTTAATTCTCATAAAGAATTTTGCTTCAGGAAAAGCATATTATTTTAAACTAGAGGCCCAGTGCACAGATCCGTGCACATTGAAAGGAAATTAATTAGAAGAAATATTTTAGAGGCTGGGAAGGGACCACGGGAGGGCTCCAGGGTGTGTCCTGCCTGTCTCGCCCAGTCCTGATCAGCCAGAACCCATCAGCAAGCTAACCTACCGGTCAGAATGTTTGCCCCCTGGTGGTCAGTGCATGTCATAGCAGCTGGTCGAACGGTCGTACACTTAGCATATTAGGCTTTTATTATGTAGGATATTAATTAGCATGTGTAGTTCTGTTTTGAGAGTTTAGCACCTAAGCCTTTGCCTGGCCAAAGAGATGTAAGAGGTATAGCCAGTAGTGCTAAGTACTTAAGGTATTTATTAGAGAATAAATAGAAACAAGAATTTGAAACTGATTATGGTTTATTTAGATTTGATGTGCAAGGTAGTGAAGAAACTGAAAAAGATTTTGCTAGATTTTTATATTAGGAGTTGACATAGCAAATTTGGCCATATAGTTTTTAATTAAATGTGAAGACAAATAGAAAAAGAAAGATAAGAATTGGCTAAGTTATTTTAAAGAAGTGGATAAAGTAGAATGAGCAAAAGTTAGGCTATAGGTGAGTTAGTAGAATTAGTTATGAGTCAATTGTAGGAAAGAATACCTTTTATAAGGTGCTAAGAGAATACCTTGAAATGAGTAGTCTAGTGTGCTATTAAAAGAAAATGAGGTTTATATAGAGTATATTTTGCTGTTTGCCTCCGCAGAGTTTAACTTTAGGTTAAAAAAAAACACCAAACCTTTCAGCTAGTAAGATGTGGAATCACAAGGTATGAACATTTGTGTTTCATTTTAATTCATCTTAAATGCATTGAAAATTTTGGGGTATAGTTATGAGTTTTATATATTTATTTATTTTTTAAATGTCACTTACTATAGATGGAAGCCTTATTTTTTTAATCATTCAGGATTTAAGAAATATTAATATTTGCACATATCTTAGATTGAATGATCTTTATAAAAGATTTAAAGATGAGCTATATGAATAGAATATATCTATTTTTGGAAGATATGTAATAGATTCTAAACTTCCATTTTTTAATTGTTTTTAAAAGCGGTATGTCTGTGGTTTAGTTAACAGAAAGTTGGAACTCAAAACAGTGGTTCTCAAACTGACATGCATTAGAATCACCTTAAAGGGCTTTTTAAAAAATATTTTTTATTGATTTTTTTTTTTTTAAAGAGAGGAAGGGGGAATGGTAGAGAGATAAAAACATCGATAAGAGAGAAACATGGATCAGCTGCCTCCTGCTCGCCCCCTACTGGGGATTGAGCCTGCAACCTGGGCATGTGCCCTGACTGGGAATGGAACCAGTGACCTCTTGTTCATGGGTCCAACATTCAACACTGGCTGGGCTGAAGGGCTTTTTAAGCAGATTATTGCGCTCCTCTCTTCACCTCTTGCTGAATTTCTGAATTATCAGAAGTGGAGCTGGAGAATTTTTATTTCTAACTGGTTCCCAGGTGATGCTGCTTGCTGGTCCAGAGACTACACCACAGAAACTGGGATTTGGAATGGGTAGCTCAGTTGGTTAGAGTGTCATCCCAATACACCAAGGTTGCAGGGTTCAAGCCTCAGTCAGGGCACATATAAGAAGCAAGCAATAAATGCATAAATAAGTGGAACAACAAAAATCATTGTTTCTCTTCCACCCTACCTTCCTGTCTCTCTCAAATTAATAAATTAAAACAAAAATTTTTTTAATAAAAAAGAAAATTTTGTCCAAATTGCTATGTTACACACAGTAATGTATGATGAATATAAAATTCCATATTTGAATGGGTGCTTGAATAGATGTTTTTGGGGATCGTGGACATATAAAATTATTGGAAATTTCTTTTAATATCTTGGTTCATTCAATATGTGTTTTTTATTTTAAGGATGAAACACTAGTACACTGTAGTCTAAATGAGCTAGAAGATGCAGCACTTACTTTTCCAGTCCTTTTCCAAGATGTCATTTATCAGGTAATTAAAGAAAAATTTTAATTTGATTCTTGGCCTGTTAGATTAACATTCTGAACTAAGAAATCTTTTGCAAATTTTTTTTGGTGAAGTTTAATGTGGTTTTCTATTAGATTTCATCAGTACTTTAATGATTTGTTAACAGAGTAGAATCATACTAAATAATTACATAAAACAACATTAATTTGTTGCCACAAATATTTTACCAAGTGAACTCTGCTAGTTTTATAATGTATTTGCCAGCAGGTGGAGGCAGGAGCACTGACATCATAGATCCCTAAGAAGAACTTGCCAGGTTAATACCTGGTATGTTTTTCTCCCCTCCAAAATCCAAATGATATAAAGAAAACTCATTCCTTGTTGGTCATTTTTATTTCCTTTTGTAGTAATATGGTCTGTAGATTGCATTTTGGTTGACCTAGTTTATAATCACAAAATTCCAGGATATTCTTCTAGTTATTGCTTTACTTTAAAAAATTAGGGTATAAGCATTTCTCTCTCATCTGTGTTGTTGAACAGGTAACAGTACAAAATACTACGAATTACATTTATGTGTGTTGGTCATAGTTTTTACATTGTGTTTGAGATTTTCCTAACATAAAATTTGAATTAATATATGTGAATATACTTTGAAAATTGCAAGGAAAGTGCCTTTCTGTGGTGGCGGTTGTTATTTGATTAGTATTACCTTCATATATACCAGTTGTTGAAGGATTGGGAAAAGGTCAAAATGTTTGTTGTTTGTCAGGTGGAAGCCAACCTAAGGATTAACTAAATAAAGCCACAGAATGTTGACTATGAAGATGATGAAAAGGTGTTTTATGATTGTTATTTGCCTTTAATAGGCAGTTAGAACTTGGGTTTCGTTTTCAATATCAGAATTAAATAGAAGTTTGTGGTTCAGAATCTACTTTACGTACTTTTTCTTGTAATGAGTTATGAGGAGCTTTATTTTAGCAGTTATTGTCAATTCTAGTTTAACCTAGAAAGGTATTGTAGGTATGGTAATATCGGAGTACTATATTCATTTCCCTTTTATGGAAACTGATTTTAGTTCTGATATATGATCATAGGATGAGCAAAATATACACACAAATAGGGTATTTATTCCATTGTAACAGTATTATTTGGCTTAAGGTAAATCTTTTTCTTAATAAGGCATTTTCTGCCATAGGCTATTCTTGTTTAGTGCACTTTTAAGGACAGCAGTCTTTTGGAAAATAAACATAGTATAGAAATATTTTAGTTTTCTCTTTTTAGCTTGATACCTTTGTTTTTTTTGTTCAAAATTGCACATAAAAAACACGGGCTTTGAATTTGGAAAATAAAGCTGTTACCTAAAAATAATATTTTGAGATGACTTTCTTAAGCTTTTATATTTGGAGTTTATTTCTTGAAGATGGTTTTGATCTGTTTATGTAATTTTTAATAGTGAAATAAGAAACTTGGAAAGTAGGAGAGTTTGATTCTTCCCCTGCATGAGCATTTCTTTTCAGTGTGACCATATAACTGAATTTTTCTTACTGCTTTGACCATTTCTGCTTCATTTCTCTCCTTTATAAATTTCTTATTATTTTCATGTGGATCTGGATAGTTGTCTTATTTTGAATAAAAGGCTTCTAACAGTGCATATAACTAATAAAAATCCTATATGTACTGTATACCTCTGTTGAATTCAAAGAACTCTTTTTCTTATATATTATGAGTTACACTTTTCTAAAACTGAAAAATAGTATGCCTAAATCAGGAGCAATAAAATGGGAGTTTGAATTTATAAGTTATAGAGATTATTGCAATTTAATATTATGACTTAGTTACTACATCATATACAGAGTTTAGTTCCCCTTCAGTAAATTTTTGAGGATGTCCATAGTTAATATTGGGTACATTTCTTTGGACTTCTGGTTTTGGCATGGCTATTCTGTCTGCTTTTAAAAAAATAACTTGAAGAAATCTTGGGTTAGAGTTCCCCCAGTTTTCAGACCAGCAAGCTCCCTTTAAACAGGGAATGATGTCTTTTAAACTTTCAGTGGTGTTGTCTCCATCTACTGGCAAAGAAGAAATATACACAAGGGTCTGAGATGATCTAAGAGATTTTGGAGAAACCACATTATTAGGTAAGATGTAACTTACGTATTTAACCACTACAATATAATGTGGCCCACTTAAAGGTAGAAACCTGTAAAATACTGTATATACTCTTTTAAAAAGTAATGTATTGAGGTGAAATTCACAACATAAAGTTAACTTTTTAAGTTAACAGTTCTGTGGCATTTATTTACATACTCTTAATATGTTAGTTTCATAGCACTTGTGTATATATACTCTTAAAAATAAAAGGGTAAAGTTAAGATAGGATCAATTTCTTTCTCTGAATCAAAACCAGATAATGTCCTCTAGGGACTTATTTTATTTTTACTTCCTTTTTGTGGTAAGTTCATTATGGTTCGTTACCTAATTTTAATTCCACTTGTTATTTCTCTTTCTTTCAAAACAGTGTAAAGTGTAAATTGTCTTACATGTGTTTCCATGATTGTCTATATTAGGGGTTGGCAAACATTTTCCTATAAAGGGCTATTTGTTAATACTTCAGGCTTTACAGTCTCTATTGCAACTGCTTTTTCTGCCATTGTAGCATAAAAGTAGTCATAGACAGTACATAATTGTTAAGTATAGCTGTGCACAGACACAAAAAAACTTTATAAAAATAAATGACACTTTGGATTTGGCCCACAGGCTATAGCTTGCTGACCTGTGGTCTAATAATTATGAGAGTATATACAGTAAATTTACACTTCAGAGTCTTTCTAAGTGGCAATAGGCAATCAAATGTTCATCAGAATTCTTGTTAATATTTAGAGAAATTTAAAATTATATCCATTCTAATCTAGTTGTGGACTTCCTTAGGTTTTTTTAGTTGTAAGTTTGAGGGGAAATTTAAGGTGGCCACTACTCACATTTAAAGATTGCCTGACTTCATGATTTACATTCTTCTTTTGATTGATAAGTAGGACTCAACTTCATTATTTCAAGTCTTAGAATTTACCAGCAGGTAGATTATTCAAATCTCAATTTAGTACTTTGAGTATACTTAAAATCCATTTTTAGGGGATAAAAAAGTACCTAAAAATTTCAACTCAAAATTTGATGTATGCTGCTACTGACACTATATATTAGACAGATTACGATTTGTGTATATGGAGAAAAAGTAATTCTAAAGAAGAACTGACTTTTTTTTAATGAAGTTATGGTACTCACAAAGGCAAAGTTTAAAGATTTTTGTTTGAATGGGTTGAACCCCCTTCTTAAATTGGTACTTTTGCCATAAATTGTTAGACAGTTATTGGGATAATATTTATTTATAGAATGGTACAGATGCATTTGATATATGGAGAACAAGTGCATGATCAATTCCAATGCACATGTTTAATCTTTATATTTAGCTTATATTGACACATTATCAGGAAATCCATCTCGTGGTGTTACTCAGTTAAGAGGTCTCCACTGTATTTAGTTTCTGTTCCTGCAGATCCACCAATTCAAGACTCTAGGTCATCTCACTCCCTCTTCCATCCAGAAGATGACTTCTATCCACAAGCAGGACTGAATCAAAAGACAGATTTTTCACTTAGCTCTTGAGCTGAACCACCTCCTCAATGACCTTCCTCTGTCTCCATCAAGAACTGGAGCTCAGTTTTTTGAAGATGTAATAGAGCTACTCAGCCCAAACGTGGCTTATTGAAGACAAAAAGAAGATGCCTCATATGTTTCACCACAGTGCAGCCAAACGTAACTGTGTTGTCCAACTCCTCATTCTGTAAAGTATGGCAGGGGCATCTAATTTTTTATTCTGTTCACCTATAAGACCTTTAGCCAGTCAGTGGCTTTCTGAAGATCAGTAAAATCAACAAACTTTGGGTCAGCTGTCCAGAAATCAGATTGTGGTAAGCACTCAAGGAGAGAGAGGATCCTTTAGGGAGCTACTTGCTAAAGGATACTTTATTAGTAGAGATTTTTATGGGGAAAGTTGGGGGGAGAAGTGGGTGGGAAATCCCATGTTTAGCAAAGGTCAGTCTCTTCACCATTATTAACGTTTGTTTTCTTGGGGACCTTACAGCCTAGGATAATTTTCATAAGGATCTCGAATATCTTATACCACGAACGAGAGGCTTCTGTCCCTTCTATAGTCTTTCCTAGGAAAGTCAGCATAATTTTTGGTTCATGAAGAAAAAAATCAATCATTTAAATGGAGGATTTTGTCGTAACTACCTAATCAAGATTTTTGTTCTCTAAAGCTCTTACTTAAATTGACAATAACCAAAAGGCATTCGTTTTGACCTTCATAAAGCATAATTTTGTTGTACAAAAGTAGTATGTATATTTGTGTCTTAAAACATTGGAGTCATGGACACTTAATATTGAGGATAATATTTTAGCTGGTCTGGAAAAATATTTCGATAATTAATTGTAGGTAAATCTTAAAAGCAATGTTAAGTAACTTTCCTATCCTTATTAGTAAGTATAGTCATTGGCACTCATTTTTTTTTCATCACAATTATTATTTTTTAGGTTAAAAAAGGAACAATATAGCTGAAACTTACAGTTATCTACTTCTCAGAGATAAAATGTATTTCATGGGGAACTCTGTTCTTTGTAAATGTATCTTAAAATTAGAAGCAGTTCATTAAAAAATACATGGGAAGTTCTTGTTCAACAAGCTGAAAATGTTCTGTAAATTCAGGAGAGGTGACAATTGATTACTAAGCATATTAAGTTTGAAGGCTTCAAAGTTTAGAATTTGTTTTTAAAGGCGACATTTTAATTTTACTACAAAGGCCATTTTTGCTCCTAAAATGACTAAACTTTATTTTAATATAACCACATTAGTATTTTACGTGTGTGTGTGTGTATGTATATATGTGTGTGTATACACACACACACACACACACACACACACACACACAATGGCTGCTTTTACTTGAAAATTTTTCTTTTTTGCTCAC